GTGTTCCGTTTTGGGAACAATGGCAATTAGTCGGTTATCCAGGTAAGTATTCACGAAATAGACTCCAAGGTACATAATTTAATGTATTGCACAAATCATCTATGTTCAAATTTTTAAAATTGTAAAATATTCTATCATTAAAATTATTAAAATTGTTATTACACTGCACTTCAATACGATAATCAATTTTTATTGACAAGTGATCAGACTCAAATATATCGTCTCCAACATTAACATTAGTAGTTAAATCTCTACTGCTAATAACCAAATCTAAACAGACTATGTTGATTACTATTGTATGCTGCCATCTAGAATAATTCCATTGATATAGTATGCTGCCCTCTAGAGTAATTATTTAACATTGACGCTTTTTTATTTAAAATTAGTTTAGGCTGTTAACTGTTTTTAGTTTAGTCCAGTTGATAGCTTATTTTATTAAATGTGACTGTGTCACTTTATGTTTGCTGCTGCCGATGCAAGTTAATAAGTCAATTGCTATATGCTGCCCTCTAGAGTAAAATTAGTGATATAAGCTGCCCTCTATATGCTGTATTTTGATGATTTCGAATAAAAACAAAATTTTATTTTTGGCCAATTAGCGCACCCTTTGTAACAAAAAAGTGGAAATTCCAGAAAAAAATTTAATTTTTTCTTTATTTTTATTATACCCTCTGCTGCCTTGAAATAAGATATAGATATAAAAAGATATAAGGTATATTTCTTTCTAATTGTATAATTATATAAATTTGAAGCATTTAGCCATCCTATTTTACATTCATCAATGAAATTTTATTTTTATTTTTTCCTCCATCTGAATGTTTTTGGCAAAATTATTTGCTAAATAAGAAAAAAAAATTTTATTTTTATTTTTATTCCGCTCTCCTCCGATGATCTTTAAAAATATAAGTACACCAAACAATGAATAAAAAAAGTCTCGCCTTACCTGCATGAGTTGTGCAATATTCTGGTGTTGGTTGAACTCCTGACGGAGTTGCTCCATTATGATCACATGACAGTTGGCAGCCTTAGCAGATCCTCCAGTTCCGAGTGGCAAAGTGAAACATTTTCGTTCTGGTTCCCATCGGATTGTTACCTAAAAAAAAAAGTTGAAATTAAATTAATCAATAATAAATCTACTGTTTAATTTGTTTAGTAACGTTGCTTAAAAATTACTTATTAATAATATATTATATTCCTAGATGAACTTCATTGTGGGATTAACCAAATGCGGAACAATTTTGCACTCACTGTATTTGCTTTGTCTTTTCCGTAAGCCATTGTCAGACGCTTGTACGAGAAAGACCTCACTTCCATGTTCAACTGGTTGGCATAATCTTTAAATTTCAATTTAAACACATTGTTATTATACATATAAGTTCTATAATATTTACAGTATACAATAAGTAATTAATAAATTATAAAATTGATTACCATTAATGACTGGAGCAAATTCAAGGACAGGTTTGTAAAGCCGCACGATGGCGCTCCATTCATGAATGAACTGCCTCCACATTACAACAGTACCGGCAGTAGTATGGTCATAGGATAGAGACACACTTCGTATAGGCACTAGAAAAAAACATATGCGATGAAGTAATAGTTAATAAGTTTAGAAATAATAACAAAATAATATAAAACTAGGGTAGTCTGTCAACTATCTTCACAGTTGTTAGAATTTTTATTTTTCTGACTGACTTTCAGTACACTTTGTATGCAGGTAGACTATAGAGGGCAACGTATTAAGGTAATACAGTAGAACCCCTCATTTACGTACGGGACGGGCCCAAAGGTGTTCGTAAAAATCATTTGTACGTAAAATCGGGGTTGTGTGAAATTCCTATGTACAGTATTTACACTACCGATATGCTAGGCTGGGCTGGGCTAGGCTAGGCCTGGACTTAAATTTTGTTGGATTGGAGCCAAAACTCCAACTTGTGCTCGAAAGAAATTCAAAATAACGATCATAATAATGTACAGTTCTATACATACTTGTTAATGTGTATAGAAACTTTATTCTCTCTTTCTCAGGCAAATAATATGACTTATTGTCTAGCTTACGAAGAAACACAGCCGAGTGGGCACCGCAACAGGGCGAGTAACCAACGTTTTTCACTCGATCCATGTGGTTGTGGTGTCATGTAAATACCCTGTACAGAATAACCCGGAAACCAGGGGTTCTCAACTTTTTAAAAGAGGAGCGCTGATTGGCTGTAGACACGGCGCTTGGACTTTTTTTGTATGCAATACGATTGTTCTACGCCTGCATTTATTAAATGAATAATAAAGTTATAAAAAGAAAATGTGGGTTTCAGTGTCTTATTTTATGGGGGAAATAATGAAATAGTAGATTAACGTTAGTTAGATTTGATAAATAAATTCCATTCATAATTATGGGATTCATTAAATTACGATATGAGGGTGGTGTATTCAGAGATGAATAAATCACGCGCCTATCGATATGCCGACAAGTTACGCATTGGGCGGAGTTTTCTCACGGCTGCAGACATGAAGTATGATCGCCGTGTTGAATGTCGGTGTATTCAAAGCACACTATCTGTAGTAGAGATCGCTGATAGTGTACAGCAAACCGTCTAAGACCTAGTGAAGAAGCTCTAGCCCGCGCCTAACGATTAATTCTTGACACGGGTGTGTGTTTTGTTCATGAAATAGGAACTTTATTTATGACAACAATAACATGATTTTACGTTCGTAAAATCGGGAATTCGTAAAATCGGGGTTCGTAAATGAGGGGTTCTACTGTATACCTATTCTGGAGGGCAGCATATCATAGCAGTGAACTTACTCTAGAGGGCAGCAAATCATAGCAGTGGACTTACTCTAGAGGGCAGCACATAGTAATAAACTTATTACAGAGGGCAGCAATGACAATT